TCGAGATGCGTCCATATACGCGATTCAACAGAGGCCACCACTACATACTCACCGTTATCGACGTGCTGAGCAAGCACGCATGGGCCGTACCGCTTAAGGCCAAGAGCGGACCCGAGGTTACTGCGGCGATCGCGAAAATAATTCGAGACGGCGGAAGATGCCCGAAAAATCTGCAGACTGACAAGGGGAAAGAATTTTACAACGCAAACGTGCAGAAACTCTTGAAGAAACATAATATCAATCACTATTCGACCTATTCCGTAATGAAGGCATCGGTCGTCGAACGATTTAATCGCACGCTCAAGAATGATATGTGGAAAATGTTTACGCGCAATGGAAATTACAAATGGATCGACTCGTTGCCGGGTCTCGTATCGGATTACAACGCGCGAAAGCATCGAACTATCGGCATGCGGCCCATCGATGTTACCCCCGCGATCGCCGACAAGCTCCTAACAACGGTGTACAGTCACGTAAAAATCGCTGCTCCCGCGCGATTCAAAGTGGACGACTCGGTACGTGTGAGTAAATTCAAGACAATCTTCGAAAAAGGATACACGCCAAATTGGACCACGGAAGTATTTAGAATCGTCAAAGTGCAGAAAACTAATTCCGTGACGTATCTGTTGGAAGATTCCTGCGGAAAACCCGTCGCCGGCGGCTTCTACGAATACGAGTTACATCGCGTTGCTAATCCCGACGTGTATCTCGTTGAAAAAGTTTTGCGCAAAAGGGGGGATGAGGTTTATGTAAAGTGGCTGGAATTTGATAATTCGCATAATTCATGGATACACAAGAATAATGTATTGTAAAAATTTATTACAATATAAAAACATATTATACATACAAATAAGTCATTTATTTTCCGAATGTATTTACAATGGTATATATATTTACAATGGTATTTTATAACAATATATATTTACAATGGTATTTTATAATGCCCCCATGGCAGCGTCTCGGTAGAACCGGGTATAATGTATCGCTTATCGTCGTACGGACTTAGAGCTATTTTCGTTTCAGACACGGTGTATACCTCGTGTAGTTTGGACCTTATGCATACCTGCTGTCGCGTCATTTCAATTTCGTTGCGCAGACACCGCGTGTAATCGTCGAACTTTATAGTAGGCGCTACGACGTTACTCTTGACACCTTTAACCTTCTTCGTATCTTTCTTACCGTCCACTCGCAAGGCGTACATCTTTGCTCTAAGCCCGACGAATTCGGTCATTATCACACCGTTATTTTCGTCTTTCATCAAACCCGGAACTTTTTTATTGGCGAGTGGGATACCGTACGCATTATCGATCTTGTAATCACTAGTGTCGAATCTATGAATGTCACGCTTCATGGTATCGTACACATCGTCGCACTCGATGTGATAAATGAGACTGTCCGTATCGGTGTACGTGACTTTACACTTGTCGCGATACAACGGTAACATGTACTCGTGATGAAATTCATACAAACATGTCTTGGATATATCGAGGATGCACATACCCACGTAGATTGGTTTGTCGAATTTCACCTCGAGTTTTCGCATTTTTATTGCTACTAGATTCTCCGAAAAGACGCTTCGACTGTGAAAATTTGGTTTCGCGATCAGTGCCTCCGCGCCGTATCTACCCTCCCAATGAGTCACAAGTCGCACGTCAACGTGATTGCGCACGTTCTCCATGGTTTTGCCAAACACAGCGTTGTTCATCAATTTGTATAAATTTTTCTCGAAATCATTCTTGGCCAATGTTCTAAATTTCGTATTAAGTTCTATGTAATCGCGAAGCCATGGAGATTGCGCGAATTTCAATACGCGGTGAATCTTTGCTATACGGAGACCGTGACGAGTACACTGCTGCAAGTTGCGATAATGTATGACATAACGTTTCTTATCGTATAATGTTGCGAGGAGTTTGTCCTGCCGCTTGCCGGGTGGTTTATCGCGCGTCGGACAGAACGGTAGGTCAGTGTGCGCGTCGTGAAGATGTTGCGGATACTCCAAGTCGACTTCGAGAATGTAGCCTATCGTGGAATCCAACGCGATATCCATTACATTAAAATCGGTTACGTCGTCGACCCATTGAAAATCCGCGTAAGGCAATGGTTGACACATTGCCCAGCCGTACAAGTTGTTTACATCGAAATACATCAGGTACGACGACGGTTTCGATGGATCGTACGACTGCGTGTACTTGTTGTTGGCCCGCGCGTATCTGTTTGAACATTGACTCAGGCCACCGCGTATACCGCGTTCGACAAACATGACCATGTCAATGTCGGTGAGCAATTCGAAATTGATACGCGTATGCTTCAACATAGCGTCCCACGTAAAACCTGGTAGAGTGTAATAATACGCGGGATCGAGTCCATAACTCGCGACGCAGCTATCGCGAAAATTTTCAAAGATATCGGCCAACAGCAAGACATCGGTTTTGAGATATAAATCGCTGTAATCACCGAGCGTTCGAATGGAGAACCGCTGCCAGACGTCGACGGCGTGCGCGTAATCGCTTTCGGATACGGTGTCACCTGTCAATGAACTGTAAAACGAGTCGCGCGGTGGTAAACACAAGTCCTCCAACTTTTCGACGCAGTCAATGTATTCATATGGAAATACGCCTTTTCGTGTCAGCAAATTAAAATTTTTTGCGGATAATTTATAAAATTCGCGTTGTAATATTCGCAGTTTATCCTTGCTGAGATAAGATGCCAATTTGTCGAGACTAGCGGTGAGAAACTTGTATGAATCGATAAATCGCAATTTGACGCAATTTTTCTTATCTTTATCTTCGGTGCTTTGAACGTTTTTCGTAAACGAAATATATTTTTCTTTTGTGATCGGGAGTAAATCTACACGTCCTTCGTACGCTGTAGCTATTTCAGTGATAATGAAATGCGCGTCGTAGCCCGATAAATTGTGAAAAACTATGGGTATGCAATGTGAATCTTTGTAATTTAAGTTGCAATTTGAATGCGCGGGACCTCTGTATCGACCGGTCAGATGACAGTGATCGCGTACTCGCACGTCGTCTGGCTCGAACGGTTTTTCGCACACGTGACAGTGCGTCGCGCTGTTAAATTTTTCCCACTCGTCTCGCGTGAAATCCGCCATGGGTACATTAGTGGACAAAATAGTCTTTACATCGTGAGCTAAACGTCTTAGCTCCTCAGCGAACCACGCGACGCAATCCTTATCGCGACGAAACCGATACATTGATAACGACTCGTCGTACGAACAACGCACGTAGTACCCTATGCTAAATACGCGATGATATTGATACGTGTACCTCGACGTTTCCGGATCCGCTTCCATCTTCTCCAGGGTACATTCCAGGTCGGCGTATATGATAAATGGAACTCGTTCCTTCCTGTTGTGATTTTTAAAGGCCAACTACTTGTCGTTATCACTCGGTAACTTGATCGCGCAGTCATTCATCTCCTGACAGTCGACGGTGTGGGCTTCCAATTTCTCGCTCGTGTAGAAGTAGTGCAAACATCTGTAAATAATAATAAAAATTCCTTTTTATACATCTTTCTCGTAAGAATTATTTTTATTGTTTATTAGGATGTATACTCACCAATCGCAAAAGTATTTCCTGTGTTCTTTTTTACTGATTTGTGAGCTCACGAGGCGGGATAGGTTCTTGATCCACGCAAAATGTCCCACGTTGTCGTCATGCATGTACAGCAGATTTACATGTTTGTCCATCTTTCGGTCAGTAACGCGTATTGGCAGGATTGCAAGTTCCTTGTTTTTCTCGATGCTGTACACGTTGATGGAGATGTTGTTGTGTTTTTCAAAATTTTTAATTTGATCCAACGTCATTGGAAATTCAATGTCTTGGAGATTTAGCACCGACGTGTAATGAGGATACGACGATTCCCGTTCTGCATGTCTCTCGGCTGGATGCAGAGCAGCCGTCACTGACCATGCGAAACATGCATTGTCTATTGATCGCACGTTTATCACCGCCTTCTTCTTTTTAATTTCTCGCGGTCTTTCCACAAAACACCCCGCGTGCAATGGATTGTACTTGTTTACGTTAACAGTCAAATTGTGTATACGCGACAACGCCCACCGGCTATCACGTTCCTGGAATTCCTCCAGCGATGCTAGGGTAGGCTCGATAACGCGCGACACGTACCATTCTTGCAGATCGGATGTACGAAATAGTTCACAGTTTCTCGTAGCGATACTTTTATTCGCGCGTTTGTCGCCCGCAACAAATTCACCATTAAACATTGTGTTAATCTTTACATTGTCATGTCGTTGCATGACGTTCCGCACACGATCGAGTACAATGTCTCCCGCATCTTCGAGAAATTGATGAGGGTCGATGTGTTTGGAATTTATTACCGCACCAGTCAGTATACGAATTTTAAAAGCCGTATCTATCTCGCGCCATCTGAGTCCTGTCTCACTTGCACTGTATCCTGCACCCACATGCACGAAACGTTGACGTACCGAATCTTTCAGACCTTCTAGTCGTGCGATACGAGCGATCAATGACTGTTTGAGACCGATCGATAATCGCGGCCGTTTAATTCGGCTTTGTTCTTCCAACGATTCGATAAATTCGTCACATCGTTGCTCCCACGCGGTAAATTCTTCCCGCGAATTTAATAGGGTGGATTGCTCTAACAACTCTTGCTCCATGTTATTACACTATCCTCTTTCTAACACAATTTGTTGTGCTCACGACTTTCAATTCTCGACTACTGAGCGTACCCCCAGATTCGTCATTTTATATCTCACTAATGATGCATCGTTTGATTTTTTAGCATATCTAATTTCACCGTGATCTCAGCATCCGTACATTTGCGCTAACCGAAAAATTGCAAGATTTGCAGTTTTGCACGTGTTCGATGAAATCATCGCGAGACGCGTTGCGACATGTTCTTGAAAAAAGGTACCATGTCATTGACTTATGCGAAATTGCAAAATTTGCAGTTTTGCACGTGTTCGATGAAATCATCGCGAGACACATATGTTCTTGAAAAGAAATCATATTTGATGCCCGATGAGGTGATCTCATCACGAATGTTCTTGACAAAGATATCACATTTAACGTATATGTGGATTGTGGTGGCGGTCACCATGCAGCAGCCGTGCATTGGCGCTATTTTTGCAAGATTTGCAGTTTTCGGTATGTATAAATGGTCTACGAGGATTCTAGAGCGCAGTCAAGAGTTTGATACGGTTCGAGTACGTCGCAAACACTCTCCAGATACGATGAACACTCACGGTGCGAATTATTACGTTCCGATTGAAAATGAGTCGTGTACGAAACAGCATAATGAGTAAGTACCGTTATTTTGTATATAATTGTGCATAAACTGTTTACATACCTTTGCTTATTTATTTGTATTTTTTCAGTTTTGATAAACCCCGTTGTATGCCACGTATTTTGGGAAGGAGATTTGCCTTGACATCTACAGCTTACAAATATTTGGATGTGGGAATCAACGTGGGACCTATGTCCTTTGTGGATATACTTATTGGCGATAATCGAGGAAATCAGATAGTGTTAAGGTGGAAGCACATAAAATTACAGGAGCCATAGGCAGAATGCAGAAGCCATAGCGCATGCGCTGTGGTATTACTTTATCTGCCTATAGCAGAATGGCAGATATCATAGCGCATGCGCTATGGTTTCTGTATTCTGCCCATGGCTCCTGGATTTTCAATCTACATAAAAATACATAATGCATAGCCACAGGCATAGGCACATACATTCTCCTTGTAGTCGGTCCTTCTAGAAAAGTGATCAAGAACAAAGAACGGATTTATATTGATTAACACGTAAGTATTCTCATTATTTAAGTATCAACGTAATGAAATTACGAACTGACAGTGACCGTATATAATTATTAGTGTGAATTGTCTCAGTTTCGTAAACATAGTGTTTTGAGGTTAATTTGATTTTGTGTGCCGAAGTATCCAAATTGCTTTCTACTTTGAAGGCTCAGAGCTCCGCGACTAACAAGACGCAAGCAAACTCGAATCAAGACGCGTCGAAAGCTAAATCGGCGCAAGATCCGAAGACGGATAGCGAGACGTCGTCGAGTCCGAGGCGATCACCAGAAATTGTAATTTATTGTAAAATAAACGCATCTCATACTTTTCGGTAAGTTATACAGTTTAGGTGTAAAAATTCATTATTAAAACATTTTCTTGATTTGGTTAATTTTCTCGAATAATACTTTATTATTTGTATGTATCATTGAATATTTTTCACTTATTTTGATATTTGATGTTTGCGCTGTTTGGCCATTCTTTAACGTTTTTGCAATTAATTCATACAATTCTGAATGTGATTTTAATTCGAGAAGACTGCATTAGATTGAATTACATTTGTCTTTTCACAGAAATGGATGATTACGATTTGTTGTTAATTGCTCTGGTCAACATGGGAGCACTTTTGGTGCAACGTCGTAGAAACCGTGAACGTCATCGTCGCCGCCGCGCCGTCGGCGTGTCTGGGTACGACCAATTAACACAAGGAGAAGACAGCAAGGAGCGTTTTACAATCTTTTTCAGGAGATGAAAACAGATGAGCAAATGTTCCACAAGTATACACGTATGACACTGCCAACATTCCAGCACTTGATGGACATTGTTAATCCAAGTTTAATTAAACGAAGTCCACGGGCACTTGAACCAGAGCAAAGAGTTGCTTTTACATTGCGGTATATGTTCGGATTACTCGTAGTCTAACAATACATATGTGTAAAAACAGTTTGGCAATTAATATTATAATATTGATAATGATGTTACAGATTTCTGATTGGAGGCAAAGTTCCAGCAGTTGCTTTTGCCTATCGTGTTGGTTTATCAACAGTACATAAAATAATTAAAGAGACGTGTGACGTATTTGAAAGACTTTCTTGGTCCTATCTATCAACGAACTCCTTCAAGAGAAGAATATTTACAAATTGCTGAGGGTTTTTGGACATTATGGAATTTTCCACATTGCTTGGGGGCAATTGATGGAAACCGTGTCAATGCTCAATGCCCCCCTAATTCTGGTACGCTGTATTTTAATTATCACATACGATACAGCATCGTACTTTTGGCTGTGTGTGATCACAATTATCAATTCACTTTGGTGGATATTGGGTCAATAGGGAAGAACAGTGATGCGGGAATTTATGGGAACAGCTACTTGAATGTGACAAATGAGATGCTGGATATTCCAGAAGAAACCAGTTGCTTAAGCGGAACCGATATACAAGTGCCTTATTTTTTTATTGGGGATGAAGCATTCCCCATTGGAAAGCATTTGATGCGGCCATATGCTGGACGGTATTTGGGGGAACGCAAAAACATATTTAATTATAGACTTTCGCGAGCCCGGCGTATAATAGAAAATACATTTGGGATTTTGGCAAAAAAGTGGGGTATATATAACAGACCGATCGCTGCGATTCCTGAAAATATCAATAAATATATTTTGGCAACTGTATGTTTGCACAATTTCTTAAGAAACAAAGAAGGTAATATTTTACAATTTGAAAACAATGATGAAATTATTGAAAATAACGAAAATGGTGCATTTGCGACGCACATTAAAGACTCTCTTTGCAATTATTTTATGACCCCAAATGGAATAGTCAATTAGCAGCATGATCATGTAACAAGAGGACAAAATCAAGACTTTATCTACATGTAAACATTTGATCGATTACACACGTATCATATTGTGAAATGTAATGCTAATATGTATTTATTATGTGAATATAAAATAAATAGTACAAAATTTCTTTAATATTATTATTATTATATACCAGTACACATATATGTTATTACTAAAATTAATATCGCACAATCTTAAGACATGAGTATTATATGTATCTACGAATAAATGCAAATTATTTATTTTATCACAAAAATCATCTCGCTCACAGGTTTTCCTTTCTTCACAAAATTTTCATGATTTCTTGTTTCTTGACTTGTTTTATATCATCATCCAATTGTTCTAATTCCGCCATAACCAGATTGCAAAATAAAGTGTCTGGATCATTCTGCATTTGTGCACCATCTTTTTTAGAATTCAAATGCTCTACAACTGCTTGATTCAAATTAATAAAAGACGCTTCGAACTTATCGTTTTCGAAAGATCACCAGGCAATAAAACTTGACACGTTATTGAAGTTGACAAAACGAACGACGAAAATGCGTTAATTTAAGTCGCTAGGTTAAAATTGTATTTATACGAATAAAAATTTATATATATATATATATATATTATTATTGATACAATATGTTCGCGCGAATATGAAATTTTGTATTAATTATTAAAAATTTGATTGTCATTAATTGATAGATTAAAACTTAATTATGTAATTTGACGGTTGCGCTGATACCTAAGAATTTAAATTCGTGGAAATTATTACTAGTAAAAATCACGAATATGCATATACAAAGTAACTGACAGGTGAAAGAGTAATTCGACTGACAATAACAATGTTTATTTATATTAATTAATAATAAAACATATTATCAAAACTTATTATTGTCGATAAAAATTAAAAACTGGACAGATAACGAAGTTCGACAGATGCACTGTCTTCGGATACTTCGGCACTGATATCAATTTTGCTCAGTTCACCTAATTTGTTCACAATAGCGGCCGGCTGGGGTACGTTGGACACGGATATCGCAGGCTGGAACTCCTCTTTGATAACGAGAAATCAAGAGAATGTTTTAATAATAAATTTTTACACCTAAACTGTATATAAAACTTACCGAAAATTATGAGAAGATCCGTTTATTTTGCAATAAATTACAATTTCTGGTGATCGCCTCGGACTCGACGACGTCTCGCTATCCGTCTTCGGATCTTGCACCGATTTAGCTTTCGACGCGTCTTGATTCGAGTTTGCTTGCGTCTTGGTCGCGGAGCTCTGAGCCTTCAGAGTAGAAAGCAATTTGGATACTTCGGCACTGATATCAATTTTGCTCAGGTCACCTAATTTGTCCAACATAGCGGCCGGCTGGGGTACGTTGGACACGGATGTCGCAGGCTGGAACTCCTCCTTGATAACGAGGTTTTGCGTCTTCTCGATAGGCTCGATTTCGTCTTTCGAACTATCCACTATAGTAAGATTACCTCCCTCGTCATCATCATCATCGTCCTCGTCATCCAAATACCAATCTTTGATAATCTGATCGGTATTTTAGGTGCATCGGACTCGTTGTCTATGTTTTTCAAACTGTCCTGAGCCGCGCGTTGCTGCTGCTGTATTCGGCACACAAAATAAAATTAACCTCAAAACACTATGTTTACGAAACTGAGACAATTCACACTAATATAATTATATACGGTCATTGACAGATCGTATTTTCATTACGTTGATAATTAAATAAATTAACTACTTACGTGTTAATCAATATAAATCCGTTCTTTGTTCTTAATCACTTTTCTTTAGGACCGGCTACAATGAGAATTTACGTGCCTATGCCCGTTGCCCGTGGCTATGCATTATGTATTTTTATGTAGATTGAAAATCCAGGAGCCATGGGCAGAATACAGAAACCATAGCGCATGCGCTATGATATCTGCCATTCTGCCATAGGCAGATAAAGTAATACCACAGCGCATGCGCTATGGCTTCTGCATTCTGCCTATGGCTCCTGTAATTTTATGTGCTTCCACCTTTACCCCATGCGACGTGGACGGCGCTCATCGAAAGACGTATGGATATTGAACAACTTTTGGAGTCAACTATCGGTTCTTCGTTATCGATTCACGATGCTGTTATAGAACTCGTAAAAATGCGCGATGCGAGTGTTGTAAAATTGACATCGTGCAACACCAGCTTGTACATGAAACCGTCAACTATGCTTTTCATATTCGAGCTCGAACAATGTGTCAAACATGAATATTTCAAGCTGTATCAAAATACGCATGAAGTAAATATGAAATTTAATCAATTTGTAACTATTTTACGGCGGAAATGTATCATCGACAGATGTAATGCGGCAAATATCTTGCGTGAAATTTATGATGAAAATTCAATTATTGATTGTGAATTATTAGCCTACGCTTTAGATACTATTGTGTATAATGCGCTACATGACAAATAAATAAGTATATTATGGTAAAAAAAATTTAAATTATTTTTCCTTTTCGTTTACCGTTCCTCCTATTCCATGTCATTAGAATTACGCTGCGATATTGTCCTCAGGTTTATTTAAATAAATTAATGAGAATTATTCGAGAATTAAGATACTGTTGAGAGAGGACATGAATATGAGCTACGAAGAGGAATGACCGCGAGCGGGAGACAAATAATACGCGAATAGATAGGCGAATGATGGGGATAGCAAGTGAGATATGATGATGCAAGTGAGAGAGGATAGGTAAGAAGAGGTGAACAGAGAGAGACACCGTGCGCGAACAGGGCCGCGGGCGCGAAAGAACGCGAACGGGGCCGCGAGCGCGAGAGGGAGGGACCGCGCGCGAGAGGGAGGGGGAGATGACGCGAGCGGGAGCGCGCCGTGTGACGCGGACCGACCCCTTCCCCGCGGCGCCCGAAACGCGGTCTCTCGCGGCGCTGGAAAACGCGGTAAACCGCCGGAAAATGCGGTCCGCCCGCCCCCGCCGCACCGGAAAACGCGGTACCCCCCTCACCCCGCGGTGCACGAAGACGCTGTACCCCCCTCCTCTCCCCGCGGCGCTCGTAAACGCTGTACCCCCCCCCTCACCCCGCGGCGCCCGGAAACGCGGTACCCCCCCCTTCCCGCGGCGCCCGAAAACGCGGTACCCCCCCTCTCTCCGCGGTACCCCCGCGGGCGGGTACCCCCCCCGCCCCTCACCCCCCCTCGGAGCCCCTGGGGTAGAACCGGCCTACCTTTCCTACTCAATTAGACGTCAAGAACGCGTTTCTTCATGGACACATCGAAGAAGAAATCTATATGAAGCAGCCAGAAGGTATCAATAACAATTCCAATCTTGTGTGCAAGTTAAACAAGTCCCTATATGGATTAAAACAGGCGCCACGCGCTTGGAACGCAAGATTTGATGAGTTTGTGAGAAGTCTAGGATTTAGAAGATCTGAATATGATATGTGTTTGTACATCCGTACAAATGGAAATTCCAAGATCTATCTGCTGCTGTATGTGGATGATATCATTATTGCTGGCAATAATGAAAAGGATTTACGTAAATTAAAGGCCTACCTGATGAACGAGTTCTCTATGAAAGACCTGGGAAAATTGCATAATTTTCTGGGTATTAAAATAGAAAGAACAAAAGCTGGAATGTTCCTAAGTCAAACAGCTTATATGAAGAATCTGTTATCTCGTTTTAAAATGGACGAATGGAAAGCAGCGAAGACGCCGATGGAAGTCAACCCGTGGAAGGAGCAGGACAACCTGAACAAGGAAAATTTGGAGTGCATCATTGAGAAGAAACCATATCGGCAGCTCATCGAATGTCTCATGTACCTGATGTTGACAACAAGGCCGGACTTGAGTGCATCAGTGAATTACTTCAGTCGCTTTCAGAGTAATGCCACTGACCTGCACTGGAATGGTTTGAAACGAATTTTACGTTACATAAGAGGCACGCTCAACTATGGTCTCTTCTATTAACGGTCTGGAAGCGGAAACGACGCAGTACTGATGGGATATGCTGACGCGGACTGGGCAGGAGATGCAGATCGAAAATCGACGTCAGGGTTCCTGTTTCGGGTATACAACGCTACAGTGTTATGGGCAACGCGTAAACAAACCACTGTAGCCCTGTCTTCAACAGAGGCGGAGTACGTGGCACTGGCAAGTGCTGCAACAGAGCTGGTTTGGCTGCAAAATTTATTACGTGACTTTGGTGTAAAGTTTGATGGTCCCACCGTATTTTTTGAAGACAATCAATCTTGCATTCATTTGCTTGACAAATGGGAACATCGTAGACTCAAACATATAGACGTAAAGTATAATTTTATTAGAGAACTGTTTGCTAATAAAGTGATTGATGTAAAGTATGTTCCGTCCAAAGAACAAGTTGCGGATATTTTTACGAAAGGTTTAACTGGTGAGCTCTTTATAAAATTGCGTGAATCTCTTGGTATTACGGAAATGTAAATAAGAAAAATAGACATTTTTTTTTGTTTTGTTTAAAATGTTTATGTAGGTACGACATTTTCGTGTTATATTGAGGCGGAGTGATAAATAGGCAATATATTAATAATGTCTTTGTGTTCTTTAAATCTCAGTGCGCCAGAGTTCTATGTCTGACTGTTTGTTCTAGTGAGTTTGCCTATCTAGGTTCAGTTTTTATGTTTATGTTCTTCCTCGCTAGAGAGGCCACTCTTCTTCTTCTTTTTGTATGTACATACATAACTACATACATAGAATATTTATAATTTTTTCCTCCTACTTTAAAGTGACAGTATTTTTTTATTTGTTATAATAGTGTTTCAGATAAAAATGAAGTAACAAAGGATTGCGAAAACTTGTTTGTCAGTGTTTCTGATAGTAATAAAATTACTTTAAGTAATGTAGAACATTCATTTAACATGGCTGGATGTAGTGAAAGTCAATCAATTGTACAAGATCATCATGAAACTATCAGGTATGAATATAAGCATCTACATATTTAAGATTATTAAATGTGCCACT